ACAACCACACGCAGCCACACACAACCACACACACCACACGCAACCGCACACAACCACACACACCACACACAACCACACACAGCCACACACAACCACACACAACTACACACACCACACACAACCGCACACAACCACACACACCACACACAACCACAACCACACACACCACACACAACCGCACACAACCGCACACAACCACACACAACCGCACACAACCACACACAGCCACACACAACCACACACAACCACACACAACCACACACAGCCACACACAACCGCACACAACCGCACACAACCACACACAACCGCACACAACCACACACAGCCACACACAACCACACACAACCGCACACAACCACACACAACCACACACAACCGCACACAACCACACACAACCACACACAACCACACACAACCACACACAACCGCACACAACCACACACAACCACACACAACCACACACACAACCGCACATAACCACACACAACCACACACACACAACCACACACAACCACACACAACCACACATAACCACACACACAACCGCACACAACCGCACACAACCACACACAACCACACACAACTACACACAACCGCACACCACACACAACCACACACAACCACACACAACCGCACATAACCACACACACTCACACACAACCACACACAACCACACACAATCACACACAACCACACACAACCACACACACTCACACACAACCACACACAACCGCACACAACCACACACACTCACACACAACCACACACAACCACACACAACCGCACATAACCACACACAACCACACACAACCACACACACTCACACACACTCACACACAACCACACACAACCACACACACTCACACACAACCACACACAACCACACACACTCACACACAACCGCACACAACCGCACACAACCACACACACTCACACACAACCACACACAACCACACACACTCACACACAACCACACACAACCACACACACTCACACACAACCACACACACTCACACACAACCACACACAACCACACACACTCACACACAACCACACACAACCGCACACAACCACTCGTGATTTTATTCACGAAATTAGTCAACCAGAAAATGGTGCCCTCTACACGGGCCGGATCGCTGTGAGCGGCTGTGACGAGACGGGGTGACGGGGTCTGAAGGAAGAAACGGGCTGAGATAACGCAATTGGTCATATGTGTTTGGACATGTAAAGTTTTACTTAGTTCACGATGTTGCTGACTTGATAATATTCTACGGGCGGGGGCGATAGTGGGTTGACGCCCCTCGTGACTCCGTTGGTCGACCAAACGAAGAGAACGACTCCATGAAAGACTCGGCCGCCGGCAACGACACTGAGGCCACCGCCAAAGTAAGAGGGCGATTTGAAACACGGCCTCCGTCCCTTTCCATGAACGTCCAACGACTCGGAACCCATTCCCGGCGGCGTGCCTCACATCCGCCGGGAATAATCGATCACGAACCGAGCTACGAGCCGCGTCCCGTACGGAAGGCGCAATCGTTCAAAACGCCTCTCGCGTGGCTCATCCTCGAGAGGGCAGAGAGAGAGAGAACAGCTGAAGGCGGGAGGGGTGTCAGCTGTGGGCTGTGCGGTGCACGGGACCGCGCAGTTCCGCTCCGTGTGTGGTCTGGCATAGCCGTGTCGGAGCTGAGGGCTTCTGCAATTCTCACCGTGTGGACGCATTCACCGACTACGGACTCGGCGTCTCGGACGCTTTATGTAACGTTTCACAACGGAGGAACACAAAGAGGCGATCGGGGGGGGGGGGGCATTCTTCTTCGAGATCTCCTACTCCCCCCCCCCGCCGCCGCCTACGTTACCCGAGGCTGGTTTCATCTCAAGAGTTTACGACGTAAACAGGCGATTGTTTACCTTGCCAGCGAAGCACAATGCCGCTTTCGGCCTTGATTCATGCTCAAATGAGTAAGTGAGCAAGTTGGACCTCGCTCGTGCCAACCAGCGCCGCCTTCGCTCCACAGGGCCACGGTGGCTCCCGGCTCCCCGTGGCTCGTTGGTGCCCAGGCCCCACCGAATAAATCTCGCAAAGCCGTAACTCTGCCGCTCGAGGCGCGTGAACGCCGCTGTCTGCGGCGGGGAGAGGTCTCTCACACGGCGCGACAACCACGACGTTCCCACCCCACGCGATTCGTGCGTTAAGGGCCCTCTGAGCGAGCGCGGTGGGCACCGCCGTGAAAGGGCAGGTGGCAGCAGCAGCAGCATTACGAGCAGCGTCGGAGTGACGTTAAATGGACTGGAAGTACAGCCACAGAGAGCTGCTTTGAATGTGGCAACTCACGTACTCGGCCTTGGCATTCTGTGATACTTTGAACGACAAACTCTGTGATTTTGGAACTTTTTTAAGACGAGTGGTGAGCTGTTGCGTGACGTTCGCTTGTGCGCGCATCAGTTATGCTCTTTCAGTGATAAAGTTGTTTGTGTTACATCTAGAAAATGTAAATGTGTTGTACACCCACTTCCATGCAACACAGCAAAATGAGAATGTGTATTGAATTTATTTCGCACCCTACGTTGCCAAGCCTGCTAATCGGAGGTGTGGCGTGTAAGATATGTCACGTGCCACGTGTTGTGTCGGGCGGAGATGGGTCCTCGGCACATTTACGCATGGAACCCCAAACAACTTTTACAATTAGTAATAACGATCGCGACAGCCTACCGCGCTTTAAAGTTACGAAATGTGTTGCAATTAACAGATTCCTTCTCGTAATCGGCACTGTACACGCATCATGGGGTGTGTACAAAAATATGTTCAGACATTTAATTGCGGAGAGACGAGGCACGAGAAGTTCGTTACGCGTGGTGCGATCCGCCACAAGGCCACCGTGGTATTATCAACGGTCACGTGGCTGTTGATAATACCAGCCTTTGTACATTTTCCTTTGCACTTATATGGCACCTAAATGCCTGCTTTAGACCATGACCGCCGGCACATAATCGGTGTTATCAGAATGACGTCGTGGGATCTTAAACGCCCACTGTGAAGCAGACGGCGCGTAGTGTTTCATGGTTAAAACCACACCGCAGTATTAACCAGGGCGGCGTGCCGGGTTTGAACGGCGCACCTCAGTAACGAGCTGCGAACGCGCGACCACTCGGCCACGTCACCACTCCTGTTGATTGCCGCGAAGGAGGGGGGGTGGGGGGGGTGGGGGCGAGTAGTGGTGCAGCGGTTGGCCCACTGCGGAATGAAAACGGTGCGCGAGTTGGAGTCCTAACCACGGCTAACATCAGTGGCAAGCTTCCAGCCTCGCCAATCTGCGATGACCAGCGTGGTGAAGTGCGGTCCCACCTGATGACGGAAACTTGTGTTGCCTCCGAAACGTCGTGATTTTTTATTTGTTTAAATTTTTTTATTATTATTTCTATAATTTGTATGATTTATTTTTATGATTTATTTTTATGACGAATTTTTATTATTTATTTATTTGTTTATTTCCCACGTGACTTTATCGAACAAACCTAAGAGTAAGGCTCAAAGAGTCCCCATGGCTGACACGGTGTGTGTCGATAAGCCTTCACCCAGCAGCGTGTTGGCACAGGACTGTAAATTGAGTACAGTACCGACTCGTCTCTCGGTTGTATTGCATGTGCCGCTTAGCTGCTTTGCATGCCACGTGCCACTTGTGGTTGCAATTGTGACCAAAGCGATGTCACTTGTAACACGGAATACTCCCAGCAAGAGACGAGTTTTTCTCAACAGGCTACCCAAGGTCAAGAGGTCTTTGTGACCGCACCCCCACATCGTTTCCTGCCTCTGCGTACATCTCACTGCTGCTGCTGCACAGTGGAAGTGAACTCCCCATTGATCTGACCGCACGGCCTCCCATCGTCTGACTTTCGGTCTTCTCCGCCTTGGCACTCAGTCGACATCTCAAGCGCCACGCCCCGCGGTCTGGCATCACCACCACGTGGGTTCAGGTCTTGGGTGCCACTCTCGGTGCCCGTGTCTGTGACCTGCCCCGCGGTAGTGTAGCGGTTAGCGCGCTGCGCTATGAACCTGGCGACCCGAGTTCGATTCCCGCTCATGGCCAACACAAGTGACGATTATCTGAACCGGTCCTGGGCCTCCCCTAGGTCGACTTAGCCTCAAATGAGTACCTGGTGAGGTGTGTAAACATCACCACTAGGGAGACAAAGGCGGTCGGGCGTGGTGCTGGCCACCCACCCCCTCGTGTGCCGTGCTGGCCTTCATAGGTGCTCGCTAACAGCACTTGCCCCTACAGTCAGTTAAGGCTATACGGGGGATCTTTGTCTTTGACTCTCCCCCCTCTACCCTGCACACGTGCACCCCTCTTGTCGATCCACTGCTGGATGAGGGCCTCCCCACTCCGTTGGCGTATTTTGCACATACTTGACGTTCGTCAGTGCGGGCTTGGTAAAGGTTGCGAGCATAGACGGATGATGGCAGTTCAGTATAATACAACCGTGGATTTTACTGCGCTGCCCTCTGCTGCCCACAGACCCTGAATTCGATTCGAGTATTTTCTCATTTGACGTGGTAGATACGTTTCTGAAAGTGTCGCGTTCAGCGAAAACGCGTTAAACGAGGAGTTACTGCTCTTGAATTACATTTGCACGATGACATCAACCTGCAGTCATCCCATGGGGAGACAGCGAACTGCCGTGAGGGTACGTCGCCGTGTACTGTATCCTTCCGCTCAGCCACACAGCTCAAGAAAGTAGTTCGTCGGTGTTAACCACTCAGAAACCGCGTTATAACTGCACGTTCCGCGTTATAACGAACGCTTTCGCGTTATAACGGACGCGTTCCGCATTGTGCGAAAAGTGTTTCCTGATAAAAAAAAAAACGAGTTAGAGCGAAAACGGGTTGTGTGAACATTCGTTAAGCGAGGACTTATCGAACATCACTCTCACCTTGGAATGAAGAACTCAACGGCTGCCGGAAGTACGCGGGACTACATTGGGATTACATCTCCAGCGCTTACCTGAAAAACATGCGTGAGAATATCCCGGCCTTCTCAAAAGGCGAAGCCTGCATCTTCAAGTTGCGGCCTGACATCGGGGCGGTTAACCTGCGCGCACGCACACACACAAAGACAAAGATCCCCCATGTAGCCTGAACACACTTTTGGTCTAAGTTCTGTTAGCGAGCACCTATGAAGGCCGAAACGCTTCACGAGGAGGTAGGTGGCCAGCACAACGCCCGACCGCCTTTGTCTCCCTAGTAGCGATGTTTATACACCGCACCAAGTACTAATTTGAGGCTGAGTCGACCTAGGGGAGGCCCAGAACCGTTTCAGATAATCGCCACTGATGTTGGCCGTGAGCGGGAATCAAACTCGAGTCGCCGGGTATGCTAACCGCTACGTTACTGCTCCCCAGATGCGGGTCCTACCGATTTGGACAGACATATCTTCACCTGAAGACGGACGCTTGTGTTGCGACCGAAACGTCGTGTTTTATTTTGTTCTTTTTTTCTATCTACGTGACTTTACCGAAAGAACCAGAGAGTATACATATACACGACAACACACAGCATTCGCTCGGGTCGTTGTGGAGACTCCGACTGATGCTCCTGCTGTTGTGGAGTGACTCATGCAGCCAGCTATGGCTACAAGGTTTTGGTAGTACATGTTGTTTATGCCATTTATTGTGAAAATTCCGTCACAGTTCCTATGATTGCTTGTTTCATTGCTTTCATAGCTTTATTTTGGTGATTTCGAAAAGTGTATTAGTTTAGCCATGTTTGTTTGTTGTAGTACAGAGTTAGACTGATGGCCTTAATCTAAGTTGTCTTGTGGTTGTTGTTGCTGTTGTTTGACTTGCATCCCACTGGGATTTTTGCACATAGCGTTGGTGTACGGTTTTTTTCTGCAATATTTTGCTGTCTTTTCTTGGAATTTCTGTTTGCACATAGTCACATAGTCACTTTAAGATACTGTATTTTCCTGTTTATGTTTTAGTTTTTTGTTTGTTGCGGTTGCACCCGATTCAAGAGCCGAATGACTCACAGGGTTATACCTAATAAATGAACTTGAACTTGACTACACAAAACGCAACAAAAAGCGGAGCAAGGGGCCGTGTTGACGGCTTCTCTGCTTTGTTCGTGGAAGAGCAGCGGCCGCTGGCTTCGTTGGGAGCACGGAGACAGAGGCCACAGGGGATCAATTCATGCCGCCTCAATACTGACGCCGATCCCCAGTCGCTCCGGTTAGAGCTCTGGGCTATTAAACCGGTGACCTGAGTTCAATCCCCTGCCACAGCTAACACCAGCGGTGGCTGATAACCATCAGGAGTGATGTGCGCGTGAATCAATCACGGGCTTCCGCACCTTCTTCACCAGCCCGCTCTGACCAGAGCGATGACGTATGAATTCTAGATTTGAAGCTTTCGTGACTGCAAGGATTCATACTCTAAGTTTTTCGGTAAAGTCACGTGGGTAAAAAATGAAATTAAAATTAATAAAAGTAATATGTATCACTTGGTACAGCAAATCTAGCTGTGACGGTCCCACCTGATGACGGAGACTTGTGTTGCCTCCGAAACGTCGTGTTTTTTTTAGTATTTATTATTTTATTTATATTATTACTTTTATTAATTTTAATTCCATTTTTTTACCTACATGGTGACTTTACCGAAAAAACTAAGAGTACGATGAAGTATGGTCAAACAACTCCCCGCGCCAGACGGGGCGTGGGAACGCCTTCATACAGCAGCGGATCGATAATTGGCGATAATTATTAATGAGCGGAGTTCGGGCCGGGACAGCGGTCACACCCGCGATCTGGAATCTCCGCTCGCCACGTGCGATCACGCGTGCACGTGCAGCCCATTATCAAGTCGCCCGCCACTCGCATCTCACACCGCGCACACATTGAGCGCTTGCTCCTTGCAGATTTTCCGTCTCGGGGTAGCAGAGCGCAGGAGGGACGGGCTACAGGTCAACTGCGCTCACACACGCGGGTCTATCGGAACGGCGCAGCATCCTAAAGTATAAAGTTCAACACAAGACCGGCACCAGACCTCGGTACGAGTCCATTCCTGTCGCCCCGGAGATTTGTTCCCACTCGCCGGCGACGTTCGGCCTGGCCAGTACGAGCGCACGCTTCTTCGCGCTCAACACGACGCGTCTCTAACTTTGTAGCGAGGCTTTCTTAATCCAGACGTTCCTCTTGCTGTGCCTCTCGCTGTAATTCGATCGGAGCGATCGTAAATTAGGAAAGGAAAGATTTATTAACATCGTGAATTGCAAAATCATAGCTATCTCCTGGCACGTAAGCTTAGCGCAGCGTATTTATATAGTTATGCAACTCTATACAATTGTAATGCGGGCGCGGGCGACCTCCCGGATGTGACGTCACGGAGAGGTGGAGTTAGGTGACGTGGGAGGAAAGGTTAAGGTTCTTAAGGGAGGAGACCGGAAGAGGAAGGCAGAACGAGTGGGACTGGACCAGAGTAAGGCCACGTGGGCAAAGCCAAGGGGTGGCAGCGGCGGCCAGCGGTGGCCAGCTAAGGGAGCAGCCAGCGGAGCTGCGAGAGAAGACAGCGGTGGGGCGGCTGGAGAGAAGGCGGACGAGGAGCTGCGGGGAACACAGCCGGCGAGGCTGTGTGTGAGGGAGAGGCTACGAGAGCGACGAGAGGAGAGAGAGGCTGAGAGAACGACGAGGGGAGAAACTGCAGGAGAGCAGTATCAGTGTCAGTATAGAGTCTTATAGAAGGACAGCCGTGCGGGTTAAGAGAGAAGAACCGAATAAAGGACACCAAGCCAGACATCGTGGTCGAGTCCTTTATTACATTGGTGTCGGAAGTGCAACGGCATGTCGAAACAAGTGAGAAAGAAAAATGTTCCAGCGCCGGCATCGGCTTCTTCGTCCGAAGACGAAGACTTCCCTCCAAACATGGATCCTGCCAGGGTGGTGGAGGAGAGCCCTGCTGAAACGAGTGCGGGGACGGGAGTGGAAGATGTAGCCACAGTGTCAGGGCCGCCGACACCATCAGACGCTGATCGGCGATGGCTGCAGGTGGCTGAGCAACTGGAGACTCTCAAGGACGCCCTGGGCCAATTGTGTCATCTCGTCACCCCAAGCACGGCGACGGAGAGAGCGGAGAGTGCTCCACAGGCCGCCACGGGTTCTTCACTCCCGGCGCCATGGGCCACGCGGCAGGAGGCCGCCATCTTGCGCGTGCCGCGGCGGGAATCCGCCATCTTGACCACGCCGCGATTCGACGCCATTTTGAATTTGCCTCCGGAGGAACCATCGGCGGAGGGCGGAGTGAAGCGAAGTCGGAGTCGCCATCTCACCACGGTCAAGGAATTCGCCATTGGGGGCGACTGGAGCGCTTTCGCCTGCAGATTTTTAGCGGCGGTCCGTTCTGCGAGATGGACCGATGCTGAGGCCTTGGAAGTGTTGCCGACTCTTCTGGACGACGAATCTGTTCGTTTTTTTCGCTCCATTAAGGCCGAGAAGAAGAGGACATTATATGGAGTTTTTCAAGAAATGGCCGACGCCTACGAGCCACCTGACGACGCGCATCGGCGATTCGCTCAACGACAACGAGCGCCCGAGGAGTCGCCTGTGGCGTACAGGGGTGCAGTGCTTGATTTGGCTATGGCCGCGTATCCAGATACAACACCTGACCTGCTCGAGCCTCTCATCTTGGGCAAGATGCTCGAGCTGTCGCGGGATCTTGGGATTCCCATGCCGGTGTGCGGGCATGAGAAGCTCACCTCCCGGGCGGCGGCGAAATGTCTGGATGCACAATTCAACCTACGACGATGGAAACAGGTCACGGCGTGGACAGGGGGGCCCGTCGCGGAGGGTGGCGCTCTGGGTTGGGACCCTACGAAGTCGGTATACGTGCCGGATGAGCGGGGCCCTCAGGAGCTGACGGCCGCCTCGGTGCCATGGTCAGGCCGCGGTGGACCGGCCTCTCGTGCTGCACCGCCGATACGCGGGCGGCGCGATGCAAGGCCTGCGCTTCGGCGCAACGACGCCGATTGCTTCCGCTGCGGACGGAAGGGCCACTACGCGAAGGACTGCTGGGCCCGCATCCCGGGTCCGCCACAACAGGAGGCCTCATTACCGGCCAAGTCGGCACGCACCAGACACCCGGCAAGGCTTTACACCTCACCCATCACCTTCGTTGTGCGGTCATAGTGTTGTTGTTAAAGAGGGACCTTCGACGGGGCCTTGTCGTTCTGTGACGCAGTGGCGCAAATTGGCACGGAGGGTTGTTGCGGCCGCTACGGGTTCGTCCACCGTGCCGGGGTCTATACAAGGGGTGGACGTGCGCATTTTGGTCGATTCCGGGGCGTCCGCGACTATTATTTCGGATGTCATTTTTCATCTGTTAGGCATCCCACCCGGGGCCGTGCGTCCGGTTTACGGGTCGTGCGTCGCTGCGAACGGGGGTAGTATGGGCATCGTGGGCCAGGTGGACGCTAAAATATCTATTGGGGATGTGTCGGCCTCGGGCGTTGTGTTGATTTCAAGATCCTTGGCAGTTCCCTGTTTATTGGGCACTGATTTTCTGGCTAAGATGCCTATTTTGATCAAAATTAATGAGAATTGTATTGAACTGCCGGGTGGCCGTCAAATTTCGTTTCTGCCGTCGCCCTGGGGGCGACCTGCTTCGGCCGTACAAGTGCAGGCGCTATCCGTGGCATCTGTTGATATTCCACCTGGTTCACAGATGCTTATTCCCCTGCGGTATCGGAAGCCCCTGCCTGGTCGGCTGGGAGCGGTTGGGATCTTGTTGTCACCTTCAGCCTCGATAACGGCCGGATCGGCGCTGGTCGGAGCGCAGACCATCGTCCGGCCAGATCAATTACCGTTTTTGCAGGTGCTCAATGCGGGTACGGAAAATGTCTGTGTCCCAGCCGGCACGGTTGTGGCACATGCCACCATGGCATTTACGGCTCACGATTGTTCGCATAGCCAGGGAGTGGTTGCTGGTGTTTCCGAGCCTGTGGCTTCGGATGACCGCTGGATTGCTAGCTTATGTGACGGAAATTCTTCCCTGTCTGTGGATCAACGGGGTGCGCTTCATAAATTGTTATTGACGTATTCCG